TTTGGTGAACAGTCCTGCCCACCTACATACGTGGTTGTAGGAATGCAGTGAGAGGCGCAGTGGGCTCAGTCCATGTTAGCCATTAAAATTGTGCCTTGCGGTCCTGATTTCCTGTTTTATTTATCCTCATAGTTTCCTGTGACTTCGGCATCGATTACAGCTGTTCACAGCTGCAGATGCAGGGAGAGGAATGGACTTGCCAAGGTTCACACAGTGAGCCTGTAGCTGGACACCCAGGCCTCCAGGATCCAAATTCCGATCCCCTCCAACATTACGGGGTGGGGCAGAAGTCTTGCCCACCCAGGGGTCTCTGTAAGGGTGTTCACAGACATTGTGTCGGTGTTTTGGGGGGAGACTGCAGCCTCTGCCCTCCTCCCAAAGCCGGTCTCTCAGCGTTCCCAAGCTCTTCCTGCTCTGCCAGGGTGGAGAACGAGGGGGTGGAACAATGACAAGCCTGTGCTGTCCCCCGGTCCAAAGTCCGAACATTGTAGCCTTTCCTACGCAGGAGCCCTGCACATTCCCCCCCCCCCCCCCCCCATCACAATCCCCCTGCTCTGGGCCCGGCCCAGAAACAGCCACCACATCCTGACAGCTCCCAGGTGGCGGGAAGGGAGAGCTCCCAGGACTCTGCAAAACCTCCTGGGGCATTTTAAAAACCTGCACAACAGCCTGAGCCCCAGGAAGCCTTCACGCCTTTAAAATCTTAGTCTGGAAGCAGAGGGGTAGCCGCTGGCAAGGCTCCCAGAGAGACCGGCCCCTTCATCCACCCAGCCTGCTTCCTGGAGGCCCCGCCAGGGCCAGGCAGGCTTTGGGCTGAAACCAGAAGACGCCACCACCGCTGCTCTCCACAGACACGTGAACAAAACCACGACACAAGATTAAGGCTACAATGGGGAAAACTGCTGATGGGGTCAGGGAAGGCTTCCTAAAGGAGGTGACAACTGGAAGGTTCTCTCCCTGGACTTAACCCTTACTTGAAACACCACTTTCTGGGTGTTTGGTCTCCCCTCCCACCACTTACTGGCCTTCCATGCTTCAACCACATGACGCCACTCACTGGTCTTAGACAGGACTGCGTTCTTGCTGGTCACTTGCCAGCCCCATTTGCCCGGCCTTCTGAAGCCGGCTCAGTACTTACATCCTCCAGGAAGTCTTCCTTGATAAACCCATTCTGTCTTTATTTTCTCACACATACTTCTCTTGTTGCATTTAGTTCTGTAATTGGTTTTCACATCCATCTGCCCCTCCACTGGCTCTTTTGATTCAGGGGCTGAATCTTTGTCTTTGCCTTCTTGGTGCCAGGCTAGGGTAGAGCAGGCACATGTAGGGCTCTGTAGGGCTCAAGAGCATCTATCTATCTATCTATCATCTATCTATCTATCTATCTATCTATCTATCTATTTTTAGAGAGACAGGAAGGGGGGAGAAAAATAGGGAGAGAAACATCGACCAATGGCCTCTCACATGCCCCTAACCCAGGCACGCGCCCTGGGCTTGCTTTCTGTCTCCTTTGACGTTTGCTGCACCCAGTGCGGCAGGCAGGACAGGGCAAACAACAGGTCACTACAGAGAACCTGACATGAGCTTTGCATAAGATTGGGTTCTGGTAGGGAACATTTATCTGAACTTTAATCACCTGTGATTCTCAGTGCCCAGCACACAGAACTGCTCAGAGAATTCGGTCATGTGTCTAAGAGTTAAGGAAACACTCGCCAAGCCATGCAATTTGAATGAACAGTTTTATAGGAATTACTGTTGGCGAGCCCTAATCTCGAGTTGTTCCCGGCAGAGACCTCTGGTGTGCCCTGGCAGGTGGAAGAAATCTGCCCCCATGCACACTGGCCTGTTTCTGTAGGCTCCACTATCTGGGTCAATCCTCCCCCTTGTAAAAAAAAGAAATGCTGAGGACAGTTTGTTGTATTGCCTTTAATACCCCATTTGAGACATTTCTTTTTAGTATTTAGAATCAGAAAATTTGTCTTTCATGAAGAGTTGATCTCTCCGTTTGATCATGTAACAGGAATACAATGAGCTCTTTGTGTTTCCCTTTTCTCTCTGGCTGCCAGGAAGCTCAGAGGCAAGTAATAGCACTATGGTAGGAATCAGAATCAGAATATTTCCTTCTCACTCCCATATATGTGGCTCTTTCAACTGAAACCCTGTTAGATCCTTTATGAGAAGAGCATACGTAAATCAACCTTTATGTAATAAGCCCGCTAAGAAAACTGAGAAAGGACACAGGTTTAGAAGCAGAAGGCTTGGGCAAATCCCTCACCCTCTCTGAGCCTCAGGCTCCTCCCCAGGAGGCCTTGGATAGAGACCTCTCTCCTGCGAGGACTGCCTACTGCCTTGGGGAGGTTACAGGGAGGTCAGTGTCAACATCCTCCCTGCTAGGGCTATGAAGCTCCTTGTAACTTTGAACACATTGACACTTCACCTTAGTTTGGCCAGAATTTTTATTTTTAAAGAGGAGTCGGAAAAAGAGATTTTCATGTGTAATCTCCTGACATAAATGTTGCCAATGAATCTGCATTTTTTTCAAAACACTGTGTTGGACAAACCAAACTGGGCTGCAGGCCAGATCTAGCCGGAGCCCCGCCCCAGCCGAGCCCCATCCACCTCCCACAGTCTGTTTGGTGAGTTCTGGCTGCGGGTGGGGGAGCTGTTTCAACCGTGTCTTCTGAACCCTGCTTCCCCTCACCCCACCCCCCACCCCCACCTCATCCCAAGAAAGCTGCCTTGTTCTGAGAGACCAGGGCCCAGTCATGATGATCTGAGGGGGCCCAGACTCAAGCTGGACCTTGCATATGGCCCCGCCCCAGCCTTGGGTGATCGATTTAAAATGGGTGCCTGACCTAAGATGTGCCCATGAACGTGTCCCCTGGGGGCATTTTCACTTGAGGCCAGAGAGGGACAGATAGCTTTCTCCAGTGACTGGAACAGTCAGACAATAGAAAACGCAGCGGTTGGCGGCTACATTGTCCAAGATGGGGCTGGGGTGCAGCCAGTGAAGAGGGTGCACAGAAGTAAGAATAAAACGCTGTGAGAGAGATGCCCTGACCAGTGTGGCTCAGGGGCTGGGCATCATCCCCGCAAACTGAAAGGTGCCCTGTTCAGTTCCCGGTCAGGGCACGTGCCTGGGTTTTGGGCCAGGTCCCCGGTCGCGGGAGTGTAAGAGGCAACTGAAGATCGATGTTTCTCTCCCTCTCTTTCACCCTCCCTTGTCCTCTCTTTGAAAATAAATAAATAAAATGTTTTTAAAAAACCTGTGAGAGAAAGGCTCCCGGGGGTCTGAAAGCCTGCGTATGCCTCCGAGCCCTGCGGGGCCCCAACACCCCGACCTCCGTGTGTCCCCTTCTTGCCCAAACTAGCCAAGCTAGGGGTGCGTCCCTTGCAACCATCAGTCCCGACCCACGCACATGGCCTCTGCCTGGGCCCTTCCAGGCTGCGTCTGACCGTGGCTGGGAAACGGTTTTCTGACAAGCAGGGCTGCCCCGCGCTTCTGGGCTCTCAAGTCTCTGCGCACTTAGTTTAGCACCGAAGGAAGTCCACAGCTTCGTGGGGTAAGGAGTTCGCTCCCTCAGGGAGGGAGCCCAGAATACATTGGGGCTGGCACGGCAAGAGAAACTGAGGCAGTGTGGCACTATCCACCCAGTGGGCGGCGCTGTCCCCCATTCTTGTGCGGGGTGATCTGAAAGGCGCTGGAAGGGCTGCTCCTCCCGCACTGGGTCCTCGGGGAACCGCTCAGCTGCCTACTTGCTTCCGCCACACATGCCACCGCCACCTGTATTCAGAGCCCCAGCTCACAGGTTCACCCAGCTCTGGGGGTTCCTGTCTACCGTTGCTCTGCCTCAGACTCCCAGTCCCAAACCCAGATGGCAATTACCCCTGGTTACACTGGGTGGGCCACTTCTCTCTCTGGGTAACAGTGTCCTTAAAACCTCTTGTTTTCACCCATCCGTTCTTTTGGGAACAGCCACTACCCACGCTCCCCCAGACCACGTGATCAGTAGAGCAGACCCCGCCCAGCTCCAGTGGAGGGTACAAGGGCTGTCTGGCCGTCAGGGCACCGCAGCTCTTGAGCTTTTGCTGGAACAAGACAGATGCTTTCCCATGAAATCAAGGCGCTGAGGGCTGCATGAGCCAGAGCACTTACCCCCGCGTGGAGGCAGTCCACGTGAGAATGAAGTGGACTTTTTAAATGGACATGCAGCCACTCAGCTAAAGACTACACTTCCCAGGCTCCCTTGCAGCTAATGGTTCTCACGTGACTAAGTATTAACACTTGGATATAAGGGGAAGTAAGAGGTACAGCCATGGGGCAGGGGCGGGGGCGGGGGGGGGGCGGGTGGCCCCTTCCATCCGCCCTGTCCCCTGCTGATGGGGATCCTCCCCGATTGGGCCGACATCCCAGGCACAGCGAAGCAGCCAGAGGAGAGCAACTTGGGCCCCTGACGACCAGCTCTGGACAGGCTCCTCATCGAATGCACCATGAGAAAGACAGAACATTCTATTTGATTTAAGGCCCTGCTGTTTTGCATCTCTGCACCTGAATTTATATTCTAACTGGTCCTCTACCCCAGGAATCCCTGTTAGCAGTTTTGGTTGTTTCGACTGGGGGGAGGGATCAACTGCTACTGGGTAGAGACCCAAAGGCGCCCCACATCCAACAACACAGAGGACAGCCCGCCACAACAACGATTGGTCCACAGTGCCTACGGAGCTGCTGCTGAGAAACTCCGCTCTGCCCCCTCTGAAATTCAGTATTCCCACTCCTCATGGTTTCCGTGCAGACCCAGTGAGATGACAGACACGCGCCCACCTGCAGGGAAGGCAACAGTCCCGCAGAGACAGTTGTGAAGTCTTTATTGCAATAAATTAGGGTGGAAGCCCCAGAGGAAGAGAGTGAGGCAGGTCGCTGATCTTTGTCCACAATGAGGCAACAGTGCTCGACGCAGGAGGAGGGCTCAGGGTGGGAGGGGTCGGGGCTGGGGGGCCTGGCTCAGGAGGAAGGGCAGAGGCGAGGTGGGGCAGGGAGCTGCTGCTGGCCAACCCCGGACTGTGCACCGAGCTCACCTCGGCTGCACACCTTCTGCCTGGGGCGTACATACATACATCCCCTTCTCAGACATACATCCCCTCCCCTCCACGTGTCTGCCCGCTTTCCCCAGACTCTCTCTCTCTCTCTCTCTCTCACACACACACATACACACACACACACCTCCTTCCCCCATGGTCTGGCCGCTCTCACACCCCTCCACGCACACCAATGTCAAGTCTGAGCCCAGGGGTGGGGGCTGGTCTGGACCAAGCTGACCTCCCTCCAGGTGGGGCCCTTCCCTTGGGTCAGCTTGGAAGCCAGCCACAGGAAGGTGCGGGGTCGGTGCCCTTGGGTGGAGTGGGGATCTGAGTGTAACTGGGGACTTGGTGGGGAAACGGGAGACCACAGGCTCTGGACACCAGGTGGGGGCGGGGCAGAGTGCTAAGCAGCACAAAGGCACTGGCGGCGGTGGGGGATGTCCCGAGACTGCCAGTGGCAGCAGTGCCTCAAGGCACCCAGGTGCCCCATTTTCCACAGCCAGGGTCTGCCCCAAGCACACGGGGGGACTGCTGGGAGGGGTGGCCTGGAGGTACAGAGGTCACCCTCCCTTTGCCCCAGGGTCTCCAGGCTGGGCGGGGCTGGGGACGGTGCCCCATACCCAAGCCCCAGCCCCGAGCCTTCAGCTCAGACCTCCGGGCCTCCGAAGGCCAGGTTGTCACGGACCATCAGTGTCTTGCGGAGATCACGGTCCACCACAGGGCGCTGCATACGCCACTTGTGTGCCTCCTGCAGGCCGGGCTCGAAGTAGTAGATGCAGGCGCCGAAGCCCACCAGGATGAGGACAGAGATGACCAGGTAGACAGGCACGAACCAGTCCAGGAAGTGCGGCATCGCAGTGGTCTCAGCTGCTGAGACACAGGTGGCGAGGGCCAGCAGAGGTGACCCGTGTCCTGCCCACCCAGCCCAGGAGGTCCACAGACATTCCCAGAGGAAGGGGGTCTGAGCATCACTTTCTAGACGGAAAGCCTGAGCAAGACTGGACTCCCTGAACAGGCACAGAGCTCCGCCCATGCCGGGCGCCCACCCAGCTCCTACTCACCATCAAAGATGGAGGCCGATGGCTCTGGCTCGGTCCCTCTCCAGCACATTGCCTCAGGCGAGGCGCCTAACCTCTCTGGGCCTCCGCCTCCTCGCCTGTGGAAGGGGATACTAACAGAGCCTAGTGGGGATTCACTGAGGTGACGGACCCCGCAGAGCACTCGGTGAGGATGACGTGGGTGATGCCTCCTCTGAGCTGCACCAACTGCGCAGTTTGGTTACAGAGCTGCCACTGCCACTCCCCTCACAGATGGGTGGGTCTCCGGCCACGCACACATCCTGGCCAGGTGTGGCTGGTGAAAGCGTGGCAAGCAAACACCCATCCCCAGGGGACCTGGTTGAAATTAACAGGGGCCACACAGGCTCCTGAATTCAGGCCCCTGCCCAATGTTCTAACTATAGGGGTACAGATGCAGGCACCAGCCCCAAAACACTTGGGCCTTGGTCTCCACTTCTGTAAAATGGGAACAAAACTTGAACGGAAGGTCACAGGGCTGTTGTGACTGTTAAATGAATTACTTGATGTGAAATGCTCAGAGCCAGTGCCTTGGCACAACGTAAAAGCTACGTAACAGTTTGTTCTTATTTTCTGAGGCTCAATTTCCGTTTCTGTAAAATGAGGATCTAAGTAGGACCCAATTGCTAAGGTTGGGGTGAGGGGCCCCCTCTGCCTGCTGGGAAGGAAGAGAACCGTTGGAAAGTGCTCGTCAATTTCACAGCAGGCCTGCAGGGCGGTGCGGCTGGCCACGCAGGGCAGAACCGGAGGCCCTGATGGGGCCACTCACTTGGCCTGGGTTACCCAGCTGGGAAGCGACAGAGCTGGACCAAACCCCAGTGATGTGCCGAGGTTCCAGCCCTCCTGGGCAGGGAAAGACACGCAAGCAGAAACCCACCTTGGCTTCTGGGACGGAAAGGAAGGGGTTGGACGGAATGACCCCTAGCTTCTGGGACCTCTGTCTCCAAACTCCTCTTCCTCTTGTGCCCCTACTTCCAGGTGGCTCTGCGAGGAGGGCTGTGACCCACGGGAGGGAGAGGTGCTGCCTGCCAGTCCTGCATCCACCCGGAGCCCCGGCCCTGCACCCCAGGGTCCTCACTGGCTGTTCTGAAGCACAGACATGTCTGAAGGCGCCCTGCCCCTGGAGGAATTAAACCAGGGCTGCCCTGAAGGCATGCAGTCAGGCATGCACAGCGCCCTCCTTTCTGGAGCGCCAAGAGTAGGGTTCAGAATTGCCCGGCGCTACCTGGGGTGGGGGGAAGTGGGGAAGGGGGTCCTCAAGCAGAAAGGCTGCTCCAAACCAGCCCGACAAAAGCCAAGGCCATTCATGCCCCATGCCCTGGCCCCAGACAGGACCCCAGTCTCCTCTCAGCTTAAACATGAGAATGGGGTGCTTGGCGGAGCAGGAGTTGTTTCACATGCAACGTGTGGCTCTGGGAAGCAGAGGTCTGGGTCTCCCAACCTCTCCAGCCCTGTGAACAAAACCCCAGGCACTCGGGGGCAGACTGAGGCCCATAGCCCTTCGCCTGGCTTCTTGGTGGACCGGCCTAGTTGAAGCAAAACACCCACTGGCCTTCTCTGTGACCTTGGGCCGCTCCTCACCCTCTCTGGCCCTCAGGGTTCCCCAGGCACAGTGACAGGGTCAGGCTGGGGGGTTACCAGAAGACCTATAAGGAATTTTCCAGCCCCGTTCCAGCCAAGGTCCTGTCCAGGAGAGTGTGAGGGTGGCGGAACCCCTCTTCCTCCCTGTCTGCCAAGCCTTTGGCATCGCTCGGTCCCCCACCCACCGCGAGCCCGCAGACTCACCTCGCGCCCTGCAGATGGATGCCTGGTCCAGGGCTCTGCACTGAGCTCACCATGCAGCCTGAGCAGCTCAGCCGTTCAGCATCGGCCTGTGGACTTAGTCACAGCTGCCGTCCCCAGAGACACTGCCATCTGCGGCCGTCCTGGGTGCTGGAGGCAGAAGAAGCACAAGGCCAATGCCCCCTACGTGAAACAGAGCTTCTCAGGCCCAGGGATTCTGGCTGGGCCAGCAGGGAACAGTCCTGGACTGGTTCGGCACCCTGGTACCTCTCCCTGCCCATCAGAGACCCTTCCCTCTGCCCCCCACCTTCAGGATGGCAGGAGGCGGGAACTGTCTCAGCCAATCAGCAGCCTGGCAGAGCAAGGGCTTTATCCTCTGTTGCCCTGGCAACCATCCCTTTCCTCTGGATCCCTGGCACTGTGCCCGTGGTACAGTGAGGACAGACAAGGGCGGGTTTGGGGGAATCTGGAGAGGAGTGGCAGCCCAGCAGGTCACAGGGCCCCACAGCTGGGGAGCCTGGGGAGGTGGGGACCCGGACTGAGAGACATGGGAGAGTTTGGAGGCTGGCCAGTCGAGAACAGGGAGAGATTAGGGTCCCTGGCAAGTGGGTGGGGACACAAGCAGTCATCAGTATGGTCAAAGAGGGTCATATATTATAGAGAGAAGAACAAAGATGGAGACCGCAAGCCGGGACACATCGGTCCAGTTTTGCATTCGTCACGGGCCAGACCCTGTTTTCAGTGCTTTATTTCTGTTAACTCATTTATTCGCCACTCAAGATCACAGGGCAAGAGAGGGCCAATGCCAGGGTCTGAGCCCTGGTCTGGCTCCCACACAGGAGCTGCCCCTCCCAGTTCTGCCTCACCAGCCCCACCGCCCCCTGGCTGGGATATGGCTTAAGAGAGCTGTGGGTCCCGGGCACTGAGCACCCCCATCTGCCAGGCATGGCCCCTCACATGTGTCCTCCAACTTGGTTGGTGTCGTGAGGCCATTGTGGGATGAGGCGCCTACAGCTCGGAGAGGTGAAGCTGCCTACCTTTCCCTTCTTCTGGTCAGTCAGCGACACAGCGACAAAGCTAGGGAGGGCGTGGGGCTGGGGCCCACCTCCCAAGCCTGGGTCCTCCTTCCTGTGTACAGACGAAGTATCTGCAAAGCCGGGTGCCCAGTGAGCGTTCCATAAACAGCAATGGTTTTTGTCTCAGGAGGAGAGAGAAGCCCCACGGGCCCAGGGGCGGAGAAGAGGCTGTCCCCCAGGGGTTCGTTCCCAGAAAGCTGAGGACAGGCAGGTGGGAAAAGCCGTGAGTGAGATGACTTCAGGACCCTGGGTCGCCCACCCTCAGACACCCTGCCAGCCCTGGGCCCCTGCGGGGGTGGTGGGTCCTCTCCAGCATACGCGGGGCAAGGAGAGTGAGCCGGGCTTCACAGAGGGCCTTCCACTGGGACGCACGGTGCATGCGGGAAAATGAAGATCTTAAGGGATGAGTTCTGACCTGCGTGTACACCTGTGCAACAGCCACCAAGACCGATGTCTAGGACATTCCTGTCACTGCAGGCAGTTTCCTCCTGCCTCTGCCAGTCAACACCCCCTCCCAAAGGCACTCGCTACTCTGATTTCTGTCACCATAGGTTAGTTTTGCCTGTATTTGCATTTCATGTCAATGGGATCGCACAGTGGCCCTCTTTTTGTGCCCGGCTCGGCTCGTCACTCAGCACAATGCTTTCGCTACGCACTGATGTCGCATGTACCGGTGTACCTCACCTTGCTTATCTCTCCACTGCTAAAGGACTTTTGGGTTGTTTCCAGCGCTGGGCTATTGTGCGCAAAGCTGCCAAAGTGCTTTTCCACAGCTTGGAGTGAGAGGGCAGAGAGGAGATGGGGGGCGGGGTGACAGAAGGTCGTCGACAAACTCCGGGGTGTGGGGGGGGGGACTGGGTTTGTTCATTATCCTCATGGAGGTGGTGGCTTTCTAGGTATACACATACGTTGTAAGTTATCAAATTGTATGCTTGAAATATGTGTAGCTTATTATATGTCAACTATACTCTAATAAATCTGTAAAAAAATCTGATCAGTGGCCTTTAGATATTATTTTAGCCTCATGATTCTTTATTCACACAAAAGCTTATGGGAAGCTCAGTAGCCAGAGCTGCTTTGTTGAACGGTGGGATGGGCTTCTGGGCCCCAGCCACACAGCTTCCCCTGCCGCTCACAGTGTCCCAGAGGCATCTCCCCAGGGCTCCACGGAAGGCACAGGGGGGTCCACGATGACCCTGCCAGCTCACAGTGCTCTTGACAGGAAACCTCGAGTCCTGGGTCTGGCCTTCCTGCCAATCTCTACCTTTCATTACAGCCTGGGCCCTGCACACAACTATTTTCTATGGCACCGCCCATGTGACAAGCACCAAATCACCCAGCACCTCAGCCAACAACCACCTCCCCAGTGCAGTGTTGCATGAGCCCCAAGGGATCCTTCGTCTGTCTTTGTCTGGGCTCTCGTGGCTCCAGGTGGCTGTCACTCACTGTGCTGCACTGGGTTGTTGTCACCCGCCCATCCATCACGGACAACTCCCTGGAGCAGGGATAACACGTCTGGTGCCAGGTCACTTGCCCAGCACCGGGCCTGGCCCACGGCAGGCACTCAACTCAGCACAGGTCGGCTGAATGGCTCAGCTCAGTCCCTCCTAGAAAGGGCTGACCAGGGTCCAAAGGTTTTCCATGACTCTAAGGGCCTCGGTCACCTGGCCCTCCGTCACCGCTCTGGCCTCATCTCCTCCCACTTTCTCCTCTCCGTCTGCCTCAGCCGCGGGCCTCCTGGCCGTCCCTCAGAAGAGTCGGGAATGCTCCCCCAGGGGTCGTAGTGCGGCTGCTCCTTCTGCCTGATGCTCTGCTTCAATGTAGTTAAATTGGCTCCTGTCACTAAATTCAGGCATCCGCTCAAACATCGCCTTCTTCCAGAGGCCTCCCCTGACCTGAAGGAGCTTCCTCCTACCACCTCTATTTATCCCCTCGCCTGCCTTGCTTTATTTTCACAGTACTCATTGCCACCTGACTTCCAGGGAATCCCCTCTGCACCGCACCCCCTGCCATTGGGAAATCAAAGTGCTGGGGCTGGGGTTCCATGAAGCCATTTACATCTAGCTCTTTCTAAGCAAGACATTAGTTTCATCTGCAGTGAGAAGGGTTTAAGGTTAAACAGGGAGTCCACCTCTGCTCTCCCAGAGGCCAAATCAAATCGCTGAGCGATCTCGGTCTGGCTTCCCCAATACACCGAGTTGATCGATAATGTCTGATTCATCCATGTTCTCAGGATGGGGCATTGGGTCTGCCCTTCAAGACAGTGGCTAAATAAATCACTGCTGAGAATGAAATGATGAATGAATATAAATCAATCCATTCATTCAGCAAATATTTATCGAGCAACTACTATGTGCCAAACACTTTCTAAGCTGCTGGGTATACAAGCTGGCAGAGTCTCTGCCCTCATGTATCTTGCACTCTAGCTGGAAAGATAAGGAGCAAGTAATTATGTAAGTGTTGGGAGAGGCCATCTGTCATGGGCCCTGGGCATCCCTGAGTATCCCAAGAAAGCAAGACCCTGAGGGCTCCTTACAAAGGCCATTTCTCAGGGCTGTGATAGAAGCCAGCAACCTTGAGGGATGACATAACAGCTCCCCCCAGAAAAACAACAGGACATGGGCGACTAACACAAACAAACATAAAGCCCTGGCTATTGCTTTTAATGTAGGTAATAAAGTTCTTTCTCTCTTTCTAAGGAGCTTCATGGCTTCTGCCAGCATCCATTAAATAGTAACAGACTTGCAAAACAGGAATAAACAGTTTATTAGTTTGTAAGTGGGGTAAAACCTCAGAGGCTGCACAGTTCTTGACAATGTGTTAAGTGGTGATTAGAGCTACTGAGAATCTAGAGCAGAGAAAGGGAGCTAGGGAGAACGGGGGGCTTGCTATTTCAGAGAGGCCACTGAGAAAGGCTGCTCTGAGAAGGCAACATCGGAGCCGAAACGTGGGCAAGTGAGGAAACAAGTCACGTGACTACTTGGCAGGCGAGTATTTCAGCCAGAGGGAACCACAGGGATAAAGGTCCCGAGGCCGGAAGCTACTTTGAATATTTGGGGGACAGCCTAATAGCCCCTGTGGCTAGAGTGGATGTGGAAGACAGAGGAGCAGATGAGGCCAGGGAGGCTGTGGGGGGCGGGTGGCCAGGACACCCGGAGCCCCAAAGGCCAAGTGAAGCACTTGCGATGTTCTTTGAGATGGGAACTGCTGGTGGGTTTTGATCAGAGATGTGGCCTGCTCCTATTTCTGTGTTAAAAGGATGGCTCTGATGGCTGCGTGGAGAAAGCCTGCTGCCCTGGGGACCAGGGCGCAAACCGAGAGCCAGTGAGAAGGCTGTTACAGCAGTCCCCGTGGGAGACGGCTGAGGCTTGTCCCGGTGGGGGCGGGGGGCAGCAGGGGAGGCAGCGGGAAGCGGTCAGCTTCCGGATGCATGCTAAGATTAGAGCCCATAGGCTGGCTTAAGGACTGGTTGTGAGCTGAAAAGAGCCACAAATGACCCCAAGGTTTTGTTCTGAGCAGCCCCAAGATTAGAGGTAACTGAGATAGGGAAGACCAGGAAGGGGCAGGTTCGGAAGGAATCAAGAGTAGGGTGAATGAGCGTGAATGAACGAAAATGAACAAGTGAATCACTGAGTACCTTCTTTTTCCGAAGCGTGAAACAGAAGGCCTGTCCCATGGACAGCACCTTCAGAGCTTGGGACCAACCCTGAAACACCCCCTCAGAACACGAGGTAGCGTTTCCTTTAAGAGGGCTCCGCCCCGCTTCGCGAAACCCCGCCCAGAGAGGGTCACGTGCCGCTAAGGGAGCACTGAGGCTGGGCTGCAGCACGATTTGAAAGCAGGGCGCGCGCCGCTTGAGTAGAGGTTTGGCCTGCGACTGGGATGTCGGTGTTGCGGCCGCAGGACCAGCTGCCGGGCCTGAACGCGGCCACCATATTGGTAGGCGTAGGCAGCCCCGCTTCCCCCGCCAACCTTCCCCGCTTGGCTGTGCTTCAGCTCTGCGGGTCTCTGTCCTCTCCGGAGTGCTGGCGCGCGCTGTTCCGGCAGGGTATGGTGGGCGGGATAGCCACATTTTGAGCCAATCGGAGTAGCCTCCCTCTGAAGCTCAGGGACGTCCTCACCAATAGGTGCGAGGCGGGCTCTTTTTAGGTTTGTGATTGGTTTCTGGCTTGGGGAGACCGCGCGCCGAGTGGCGGAATTCTGCGCTGGGCTGGGCCTTGGTTTCCCGGGTCGCCGGGGACTCCCGGAATGGTCAGGCAGTCCGACGGAGAGTCAGGAAGGTAGTGAGTGCTGTGCGGACAGGACCGGAGCGGTACAAACCTCGGGCCCTCCACCCGTGCCTAGCAGAGTCCTCCTTCGGTAAATGGCGCTCTGAGCGCTGGAGCCAGAATCCTGGGGATCGCGGTCACCGTGGGTCGGTGCCCCGATCCCCATGCACTCCAGAGGGACTGCTGTGCCCATGTACCAATCGGCAGCCTTCTCTCTCTGGACAGCTGGTGGGCACGGAGGATGCTCTTCTGCAGAAGCTGGCCGATGCGATGCTCAAGGAGGACTGCGCCTCCGACCTGAAGGTGTAAGTAGTGAGGCTGGGGGTGTCCGATCGCCCGGCTGTGGTCTGAACTCTGGCCTGGGCGCGAGGGAGAGCGAAGGAGCCGCCCGAGACGGGCGGAAGTGGAGCGGGTTGGCGAACCCCTTACTTAACCATTCTTAACGCGTGATCTGTCCTCGCTGACCCTGGCGGCACCCCATCTGAGGTATCCTCCATCACTCTCATTGACATACTTGTTCTCTTCCTCTAAGACTTGTCACCACAAGAAATTTCCTTGTTCACCTGTTCGTTTACTTGTTTCCCATCTCCCGTGCCCATGGATCCCAAGGTCAGCCCCCTAAGGGCAGGGCCTTTGCCTTTTGTTCACTGGCGAATCCCCAGTGCCTTGAGCAGTGCTTGGCACAATGTAGATGCCCCCGTCCCTGCCCCAAATTTGTAGAAAAAGTGACTAAGGAAGTGTATTTTGTTTTCCTTTGAACCTGATGGGAAGTAGGAACAGCTGCTGAGGGAGTCAACTGCTGTAGGTGTGTGGATGTTGTTTGCCCTGATAGAAAGATAAACTTCCAGGGTCCATGTTGAAGGACAGTGATCTATATCTAAAGGGCATCTCCTCCATGGGAATAGGAAGTACTGTCCTGTACTAAGAAGAATAAATCCTGTTACAGCACTTTTAACAAATCTCTTACGAAAGATTGTTCATAAATCTGTGTTTTACCCATCTTGCCAGGCTCTTAGGATACAGAATGTAGCCTAACTTAGAAACAATCTCAAACCCATAACTTAGAAATAGGAAAGGATTTAAAAAAAATAATTCATTCACTTAGCACCAGAGTAAATGGAAAATGTGGACAAAATTGCCTACATTGAGCAAGGTGGAAAGAAGTGTTATGGAAACACTTGCTAAAAAAGGGCCTGTCACATGGCCTGCAGAAATCTGTGAAGAACCCACTCTGGAAAAAGAAGAAAGCTCCTTCCTGAGTGTTTTATGCCATTGAGAAATTTAGTAACAACCTGAAATTTTTATAAAGATTTTATTCATTTTTAGAGAGAGGGTAAGAGAGGGAGAAAGAGAGGGAAAGAAATATCAATCAGTTGTTTCCCGTCCTGACCGGGACCGAACCCGAAACCCAGGCACGTGTCCTGACCGAGAATCAAACTGGCTTTGCTGGGTGACATCCAACCAACTGAGCCACACTGGTCAGAGAGTGAACCTGAATTTTTAACAGGCATTGGAAGACGAAAAGATAAAACAACAGAATGAGAGACGAAGGGAAGTTGCAGAGCTAAAGGAAAAAAAGAGCCAAAAATAATACCATATGCAACCTAACAAATAGAAATAGCAAGGATCGGAGTAGATGTAGTTGAGCACTTAATTATTTACAAAGAAGAAAGATATGAGAAAATCACAGCAAAAGCATTCAAAGATGTAATAGAAGAAAACTTCCCTGAAATGAATGAAGAGTTTAATTTTCCCATTGTAAAGGGAATATACATCTTATTCCAGGAAAAATGAACACAGAACGCTTTATGCCAAGTTAAGTTATTGAACTTCAGGGGTAGATGATTCTTTGGACTTTTAGGCAGGAAAGGCAAATCCCCCATATGGTCATCTGTTCATTCTCTTGCCAGATATTTCCAGCTTCTTCATTTGGAGCAAATAACAGGAACCAGGTTGCAGTTTATGACCTTTTGTGGTTTTGTGGAGCCATGTGACCAGTTCTGGCCAATGAGTTCTAAGCAGAAAAATGATTATCTCTTTATTGGTGAGCTATTTAATTGACAGTGAGACCTCCTCAGTGCCCTTTACTCCTCCCGTGGTGACCAGCAATGTTCCAGAGCGGCTGCTTCATCAGCTAGATCCAAGGTGATAGTAGGAGCGAAATGTAAATATATAATAATAACAAAAATAATAATGTGTTGTCCAAATGGTAGGGCGAGATATAAGAATGTTAATTTTCTCATTTTTTGTAATAGAGAATCAATCTAATACAGATAAAATTTAAATATATGGTTTAAAATGATGCCAACTTACTAGTTTTTTCATAAATTTTTCTTATTTGGGTCCTTTCAGGAAACAATCTCTGCAATTAAAAAATAATTTACCTGCCCTGGCTGTTGAGGCTCAGTGGATTGAGTGCTGGCCTGCGAACTGAAGGGTTGCTGGTTCAATTCCCAGTCAGGGCACGTGTCTGGGTTGCAGGCCATCAGGGGAGTCTCTTGCATACCAATGTTTCTCTCCCTCTCTTCCTCCCTGTCCTCTCTCTAAAAATAAATTTAAAAAATGTTTTTTTAATACTCAAGTTCAGCTGTTTTTTCAGTTCTACTTTATTTTTTTGCTTTCATTAAATACAAATAAAATTAATACAATTATTTTAGATATCTATTCTAGTGTCTGAATGTGTATAGTACATTATGTACATGAAGAGATATTGAAAAAAATGCTCCAATGTTAATGTAATTTAACTTTTGTGTTTTTTGTACTTTTTGGTGTTTCCTAAATTGTAAGATGGTAGGTGGGTGGGAGGAGATTGGTAATAGGAATATGTGGAAATGGGCAGAAGTAAAGAGTTCAAGAAAAACCTTCCAGTGGGTATTTGACATCCAGAGACCAAGTCTAGACAAGAACGATGCGGGTGGTTTGTCCAAGGTCACACCGCCGCTAACTGGCAGAACCGGGATTCGAGCCCACTTCTGTCACACTCCAAAAGGGTTCAACCCCTCACCTTCACAGTTTGACACCCCGTCCTCTGAGCCTGGCCTCCCTCGCAGCAGCGTAGCTTGCTCGCTCCATGCCATCTTCTATCCAAAATTCCTTCTTGCCGAGGCAGTTACTGAACAGCTCCTTTCTGGCCAAGGAGCCAAAGATAGTAGCCCAGGAAGGACTGGCTCTGCCCAGTCCCTGGGTGTCACCCGAGAGGTCTCCTCGTGAGGGCGTCAGGTGCACAGGCGAGGCACCTCTGCCAGCCTCTTCTATGACAGACAGCATGGGAATGGTCATGGGAACGTTCTGCAATTTTTTGTTTTTCAGCCACTTGGCCCAGTCCCTCCCTCTGCCTTCCAATGTGACTCGCCCCCGAATTGACCTGATTGTGTTCGTGGTCAACCTTCACAGCAAATACAGGTGAGAGCCAGCGGCTGGGGCTGTCGGGGCTCAGGTGGACGCGGCAGAGGCCTGCACCGGGGCAGTGACCTTGCTTATGATGGGGAGGAGACGGGGCAGGGCGAGGCTGTTTGGGCTCAACCTGGAGGGTGAGCGTGGTGAGCCAGTGGCCAGCACAAGATGTTTAAAGGACACTGAGAAATCCTAGTGGTGTCATCTGTCACCATCTGTTTAGCGGATACCCTCCGGGGCCTGCCCTGCATCCCTGACAGCAGACCCCGAGACGGGCGGCACAGACCCCTGTCCTCCTTGCGCTCCCAGGCCCTGGGGCAGGAGGCTGGACTTCCAAACGCTGGTGAAGCCCAAATGACCTCTGACTCTTAGGACTTAGGTAGGGTAGACTTTCTGGTGGAGGTGAGAAGGAAGGAGTTAGCCAGGTAAATGGGAGTGTTTAAACAAAGTGTCCTGGTTTAAATACTGTGACCTGCTTGGAAAGCAGCTCAGCAATACCTGTATACATGTTTAAAAGACGCATACTGTGACCCAGCCATGCCACTGTCTTACAGACTCGTTTGCTGGGACGTATAAGGGTATGAGGATTGTGTGAGTGAATGTTCGTGCAGCATCTCTGTACTGAGGAGGAAGCAGGGACCACATGACCGTCCATCACTGGGAGAAAGGGCGGTGCTGTGGTCATTCCAAAGAACGAGAGAGAGGCATCCCAACTAAACCCAATGAGATGCTCGTGCATATCACTCTGTGTATTTACGTGTGAAAACATTCTAGAAGAATTACGCCCTCAACTGTTGGCAGCAGTTCCCTCTGGGGAACTGGAACTGAGGGGTGGTGCTGGAGAGGGAGATGTATACTTTTTACTTATACATCCATATTTAATGTTTCGTTATTTTACAGGCTTGAGTCACTTTGTAATTAAAAGTAGTTTAAGAAAATGAAAGGACGAAGTTCCCCTGGGGCAATTCCCTGTCACCTCCTCTCATTCTCTGGCCTCTCTGGGATGAGGGGCAGGGGCTTCTGTGTTCCCTGTTGTAAGGTTTGTCCTCTGGTTTGTTTCCTGCCCGTGCCTGGCCGCTGCAGCCTTCAGGTCGTGGAGAAGTCCCTGCACCATGTGGACACCACCTTCTTCCTGGGGAAGGTGGGCTTCCTCGTCACGGGCGGTAAGTGCACCCCCGCCTGCCGCTGCCCCTTGCCCCGCAAGGGCCATTGGCCCCGTGGCAGGCTCCTTGCCCGGGTGGCGGGGCAGATGGAAAGAAACGGGCTTTAGATTCTGACCTGTTGTTGGTCTTTCTCAAGGCACATCTGAGCAGGGCATCCCACTGGGCTAATTCTGCTGAGATTGTTGCTTAGAGGGGCCTGGTGGTTCTAGAGTGAAACCAGACTCCTGGAAGGGCATGGCGCGTTGGCAGCTTGGCCGCTGCCTTCCTGCCTGGTCTCACCCGCTAATACCCTCCCATTCTTGGGTTCAGCTGGGAGCTCTCTGTGCAAGTCCTGCTCCCTCTGCGACTTCATATTGTTAACAGCAGGAATAATGATAAGTAGCCTTCACTGAGGGCTCCCCGTGCGTAGGACACTGTTCTAAGTGCCTTGATTCTATGTCACTAACCTTCACAACAAGCAGCCCTTTGAAGTAGGTGTTGTTATCTCTTGTAGCTGAGGAAACTGGTCAGGAGGTTAAGTAACTTGCCCAAGGCCCTGTAGCCAAAAAGCGGCAGTGCTCAGCTGACACCTAGATTGCCACTTTCCCGAGCCGTGTGGCTTCTCCCACACACTCTCCTCCTCTTCTGTCAAGCTAACCCCTCTGTTCAGCGTCCTGGGGGAAGCCTCCCGGACCAGCCCTGCAGTCTGGGCCCCCGGCCACCCCACCTGCAGGCCCCCGAGCTGAACTGTGAGCTCCTTTCGGGAAGGGCCTGGCTGGCGCAGACTATGGTCAAAAGGCATCGGTGAATAAATGAATGCCATGTCATTTTTCCGTGTCTGCCCACTGAGCACACAGCGGGGCCGGGGCTGTCGCTATCATTTCATAGATGAGGAGACCACGTTCGCTCTCAGAGCCCTTTCGGCTTTGCCGTCTAATCGGATGACCCTGACAGCCCTGAGGAGAAGGTGGGACAGGATAGTCTCCCCCGGCTGCTCAGCACCCGAGCCCAGAGAAGGAGGTGACTGGCCTTGCCCAGCGCACCCTAGGTGGCAGCCAGGCAGGCAGAGGTGACAGCCGTAGCACTCGCGGCTTCTTTGCAGCCGGGCGGGACAGTCACTGCAGCGTGCACCAGAACACCGTGCTGAGGCTGGCCCACACCTACCGGAGCCCCCTGCTCTTCTGTGACCTGGAGGTGAGGGCGGGCACGCGGGCACGGGGGAGGGCAGTCGGCCCGCGGGGCGGCTCCTCGGAGGACCCCTGGGTGCCGAGGGAGGGGGTCCTGATGCGGAGCACAGGGTCCTGGTTTGAATCCTGGCTTGTCCGCTCCCTGGCTGTGACTTGGGTAGGCCACCCTAAGCCTTGGGGACTCAAATATGAAGTGGAGTGATGGCATACTTTCATCCTGAGTGCCTCTTACACGCCAGGTGCTATCACCTGTTACCTTGCTTTTCCTTGTGTTTTCTCCACTCATAACTGCACCGCGTGCGTTTATTTGTGGGGCCACGTGAATACCTCCCTCCCCGACTATGGGGTAAGTGCTCTGAGGCCAGGCACCTTGTCTGTCTCTTTAACCGAGACATCTGCATGTGTCCCCAGCAGCTGGAGTGCCCAGCGTTGCCCTCACCTCTCTGATTACGACCTTGTCCGCTCCCAGCACGGGCAGCGGGAATGGCGGGCGGGCGGGCGGTGGGGGGACACCTTGGGTGCTGCCTCTGCCCTGACTCCGGTGGCATTTCTTGCAAGGTGAGCCCCAACTGCGGGGGTACCCAGCAGATTTCTGCTCTTCCTTTTGTGCTCTTCAGCCTCCTCTCCTTCCACAGGAGGAATCCTGATGACTTTTTGAGAGGTCTGCTGAGGGCCCCAGGGCCTCAGGCAGCTCGGGTGGCTTTGGGGTCTGTTTATTGAGGCTCATTTAGAAGACTTGTGTCTCTGATCTGTTCTGCTTCTTGCACCTTTTCCCGAAGGCAAAGTGATGTCACTCAGAGAGAACTGAGTCAGCATGTGGTCCTTCACCGCCATTTGGATCTGGAGTTCTTATTCTGGCACCTGTGGACCCTCTGATCTGAAAGTAGAATTTAGGGGATCTGGAACTTGGGCGAGACAATTGCTTCTTTTATTTTACTAACATCTAAGCGAGATCTAGTCTTATGAGCGCAGGCAAGAGATGTAGGTAGTATTAGCAGAATCTGTGACGGTTGCCAATAGAAATGACAGATGCACTTGGGTGCCCGCTAACCTTGTGGCGGGTGGTGCAGTTCTGTGTGTGGCCAGTGGGTGGCAGGCCACACCAGGGCCTGGGTAACCCCGGAGCCTGAGAGCTGAAGAAAAGGTCTGCGCCGCTGCCGCCTCCGCGTGCAGCCAGCAGCAGGCCTGCTGGGAACGTAGACCCGGCATTCCCCACAGGAAGCATGCAGCGCCTGGACAGTCGTCACTCCTCCTCGCTCCTGTGGTGTCCTTTCAGGGCACACTCCACCGCCTAATCAAGTTTGGGCCTCACCATATTTTGCGTGGCAACTGTTATCGCCCCATTTCACGAGGGAGGAAACCACTCAGCGAGGTTTCCTAGCTCCGCCCACAGCGCCGTGTGCGGGTCCCTGAGAACACACTTGAGTCAGACGTTGGCTCTGGCCTCTCCTGGCACCTGGCGAGACCGACCAGCTCATTACATATGCAACAGAGAAGAATTCGGAGAGCTGCAGAAGCCGGCCAGGGGGACTTCCTTCCTGTGGGTGACAGAGGTGGTCGGAATGTGGTCAGACGGGTTTGGGCGCCACGCGAGTGCGGATTGGGGGAGGCCCGGCCCGAGGCAGGAGGCCGGAGGCCGGCTGTGGCGTCTGAGTGAGGTCAGCAGCCTGGAGGTGTACTTCGGAGTAAGAGGATTTACTCAACAAGTATTTCCTACATGTCCACAGTGTGCCAAGCACTCTTCTAGGCACTGGAGATGCATCACAGAACAAAGAAGTAACAAAACAAAACAAAAATTCCAGTTCTATTCTAGTGGAGGAAGCAGACGTAGAGTGCGTCATGCGTTAGAAAATGGGAGGTGACCTGGCAGGTGTTGGTAAGGCGGTAAGATTTAGATAGGTGGCGTGGAGGGGGTTCCCCGGAAAAGGGGCCTGTAAGTAAAGACAGCGGCAGCGAGAAGGCAGGCCCTGCAGGCTCCCACTGGGAATGCGCAGCGGCTGGAGAAGCAGCAAGTGCGGAGGCCCTGAGTTCGGGGCTTGCCGGGTGCATTCAATGTCCCACAGGGAGTGGGCGGCCGGAACAGAGCACACGGTGGGGGGGGGGGGGCAGAATAGTGGGAGATATGTCAGTGACAGTGTGGCCTGATCAGTGGGGCCTTGGGGGGGGGGGGCGCAGAAAAGGCAGTGACTTTCACTCTAAAACCGGAGCCCCCCGCGGGGGCTGGGCCAGGGAGGAATGCAGTCTGACTAGGGTGTGAGGTGGATGCCTGCAGCCGTGGGGAGGAGAGTAGACTGAGAAGAGGCAGGGGCAGAAGGGAGACGGCCCCAGGGGCTGTTGCGGGAAGAGTTAGCAGTGGCCTGGACTCTGGGTTCGTTCAGGGAAGAGGGAGATGGGATGGGAGAGCGATTCCAGGGTGGCGCCAGCAGACTGCGATGGCCTCCGCGGGAGCTGTGGGAGCAGGAAGGTCGACTCGGGCTCTCGGCCTGAAGCTGAAATGGGGGTGACCGCAGGAGGGGCAGCTTTGGGGGACTCCCGTTTGGACGAGCTACGATGAAGTGCCTCTTGGATGCCTGCACAGAAATTGAGTGAGCAGCTGAGAGGTGTGCCTGGCTTTCCGAGGAAAGGTCTGGAGATGCCATCTGGGATTGAGACGGTTTTAGAGACACGGACCTGGATGAGGTCACTGAGGGAGTAGGTGCGGGCGAAGAAACGCAAAGGCCAGGCCCTGGGGGCCCCCCACATTTAGATGTTGGACAAAGAGGGAGCAGCCTGTGCGGTGGGAGGGGAAGCTATGTGACTGTGGGTGGGGTCTCGGGAGCGCGGGAGAAAAGGCGATGCGGGGTTGGGGTGGGGGGCGCTGAGTCAGACTCTACCAGAGGCTCTTGGTGAGAAAAGCTGGTGCAGTGAGGACTGAGGCTTTACCTTTGGGTTTAGAACCGAGGAAATGACAATTCTGAGGCCACCTGTCGGCCAGGGGTGGACAGGGTGGATGTCTGAACATCACTCTGCTCTTCCACAAACGTTTACAGAGCACCCCTTGCTTGCCCAGTGCCAGGCCCTGGACCAGTCTCACCCCACAGTCCCATGGGGCCTGGCAGCCTACAGAGGCCCTTAGAAAGGGGCTCTTGCTGATGGCATTTCCCTATCCCAGGGAGGGCGCTCTCTGTCCACCCCTCCGCCCCACCCTTGTCTTTCTCAGGCCCAGGGAAGGGAGCCTCGGGGCCTCTGCCCCCAGGCGGCGGTTGGGACTGGCCCCTGGCTGAGATACCCCCTCTGTGGCCACTGAGCGTGACCCTAGACAGTTTGCCTACCTCACCAGCCCCGTTGCTGAGCCTTCGTTTCCCGTGGAACAGGCTCACCACCTCTGGTGCCCCTGAAGGGGTGTGCTGTGGGCGAGGGTATAGCTGTGATGCGCAGTGGCGCGCCATTCCGTCCCCACATCTAGGACCCCGGCCCCCTCGGGCAGTCCGTGCGGCTGCCCTGACTCTGTCCTCTGCTCTTCCCCTGCAGGTGGAAGGCTTTCGAGTCACCATGGCGCAGCGCCTGGTCCGCATGCTGCAGATCTGCGCTGGCCACGTGCCTGGCGTCTCAGCCCTGAACCTGCTGTCCTTGATGAGCAGCTCTGAGAACCCCTCCATGGAGGGCCTGTGACGGCCATCTGGGCGCCCCCTGCCCCCACCACAGCGAGGTCCCTGGCTCAGTAAACATTCACTGTTGCCGAAGACCCACTTAGGGCTTGAGAGGCCCTCAGTCAGCAGGGTCACTTCTCCGCAGGACCCTAACTCTGCTCCAGCAGCGAGCGCTGTGGGGGCGCCCAGTGGTGGGACCAGCCCCCCTCCCCACCCACGCTCACTGCAGCAGAGCCCTGTCTTTATCCATCAGATGTGGCCCGTCTCCACTCAGGACTGCTTGCAAGCAAGGCGTCTGTGGTCAGAAACAGTTCAAAATGTACCAGTCTCGTCCATTGCTTCGGTGCTGCAGATGAACTGACTGGGCACAATTAAGAGTAGGGCCAGGGGGGAGGGGTGGAGCTTGGCCTCTGTGAGCCCGGTCTGCCTCCACCTCTGGGCCTCGCGGTTCTTAGAGAACCTGGATGTTGCCTCTTGGAGCCTCAGTTTCCCCAGGTGAGACGAGCTCGTTTGCCCTTCTGCACCAAGGGGACTGCATGAAATGACAGCAGTGAAGGGCCCGCGCTGGTGTCTTCACTCCCTGTGCGCAGTCGTGCTGATGTGTTTCTTAATAAACTGTCTTACTGCCAGGTAAACACTCGCTGAACAGTGACTGGTACAGGAAGTCACACACAGCTAAATTCAGAAACCAGCGAAACCCCAGGATTACACACTGAATTCCTCAGATTGTGAGAATTAAGCAAGAGAAGCTGGCAGGAGGGCTGGTGCCTGGGTTGGCGGCCGGAGGCTCTGCCTGACTTGCACTCCTCCCTGTGGTCTAACTGGAACCCGGGGATCCTGCCATCCCCCCCGGCACCCCGCCTCCTGTGGCCTGCTGGGCCCGTGAGAGCCTGGGGTGCGAATGGGAGGTCCGGTGGGCGAGAACTGGATTGCCTCATGCTCACCTTTCTTGTGCCAGGGCCTGCCCTCCACCCTCAGGCGTCCGGAGGGCCCCGGCTTGATGCCTCGCTCAGTGCCAGCACCAGGGGCCTCTGCTTCGCCGGCGCCATGGCCAGGGCGCCTGATCATCGGCAGGTGGGCCCACGTGCAACGTGTCACAGACATCATGGCTTCTCTTCCATGGCCTCCTTTCAGAACCCAGCCCAGCACCCCAGCCCTAGTGCTCAGGGTTCACAGACACCTGCCAGCCTGTGGGGCAGCCTCTCGGGCCCCGCCAAGCACCTCAGCTGCGCAGATTTCGGTTGAGGCCCCAAATGTCACTGGACATTTGGCAGGGCACGTCACGCTTCGCAGAGCTCTTCTCACACGGCCGCTCCTGTCACCTCCCAGCAGACCTGTGAGGTTGATGTTTCCCCATTTCACAGTTAATGAAACCGAGACTTGTAATCAAAGGCATGCCCGCAGCTGGAGCCGATCAGTGGCAGAGCCAGCCTCTGGCCACAATCCTCGGCCTTTCCCTCCAGTTTGCTTAGGCAGCTAATTGTTGAACAAAGGCTTGGGCACTCACGGGGCAGGCTCTGAACAGGGGAGGCAGTGGGGGAGCACGGTCCTCATGCCTGAGAAAGCAGGCGCCGCCGGGTGCTGGGCTCTGCCCCACAGGGCCTGGGGGCAGGGGGCTCCCTGAGGGAGAGGGCGGTGAGCAGGGCCGGAGGGCTGGCCCACACCAGGAGAGGAGGGCAGAGTGGACATAGCCTCTGTCCCTTCTGGGCATGTCACTTTATGCTGGAGGCAAAAGGAGGTCCTCCCCATACCCCCTAATCACTGCCCTCAGCCATCATGGGACACACCTCTCTCCAGTCCCTGTGCCATGTTTTCTTTGTTACCTGGCACCGTTTAACAAGAGAAGTGGCATCGCATTCTCCAGCCAAGGATCTGGAAGCCGTCCAAGTGCCGGGGGAACACGATGCTGTTCCTGCTACCAGCTCCAGTGAGCTTGGCAGGGGCCCTGGAACGGAGGGGCCCCCTGCCACCCAGAACGGCTGAGCAGTCCCTCGCTGGCCCAGCCGGGCAGCGTGGCTGCTTTGCACTGTCCAGAGGCCAGTCTGACCGCGGGACGGCGTGGAAGACCAGTCTGTGCACAACGGTGCCCAGACCTGGCGGTGGGTGCTGTGGAGGAGACGGAGGAGAGCCTGCGCTGGGCTGCTCACTGACCTCATGACCTGAGGCAGGTCACTGATCCCCGTGAGCCTCCGTTTCCTCATCTGTAGAACAGGGTCATGCTAATGCCTTTCTCCCCAGCTGGTTGGGAGGACTGAGAATGAAGAGCCACTATTTTAAATAAAGTTTGAAACAAATGTTAAGACCTCTCAGGCTGGCCACGGTCCCCAGGCGGTCACGTTGGAGGCAGTCAGTTGGGGGCTAAGTTCTGGGGGGTGGCCTGAGGCTCGTGCAAGAGTCCCCCTTCTCTTGACCTGGAAGAGCTGGGTCCACGCCCTCTGAGCGCAGAGGAAGGAGTGGAGCGTTTGGGGCCCCTGCTGCATGGAAGAGGCATCCGAGACTCTGAGGGGCAGGGCCTGTTCAGGGTCATAGGTGCTTTTGTCCCCTTAGGCCACCTGGCTGTGGGCAGCCCTCGGGCCTGCCCCAGGGAACTCACATTTCCGTGGGAGGTGGCCCAGGCGCTAATATTCTGGCCCCAGAATATTTCCATCCCTGCAGAGGGGGTGGGGCCTCCCTGGCCAGGAGGGGGCTCTGCAGTGTGGCACCTGTGGCCTCCATCCAGCCCTCGGGGAGCAGAGGCGGGGCAGTCTGGGCAGTGGCTGTGGCTGGCATAGGGCCGCCTGGCCGCAGAGGGGAAGCGATGTGGTGGGAAAGGACCTGGCCTTGCAGTCCCACTGACTTGGTATATGTGGCCAACCTGCAGCATCACCTGGTGCAGCTCGCTTCCTGTCCCTGAGCCCCAGAGCCTCTTGAGGTTCTTGTGAGGCTCAGAAAAACCAAAGAAGCCGACACCCACTGTACCTGTCCCATGTCTGCTCTCTGTAGACAGCGGCCCCAGGAGGGTTGGCCGGCTGTGCCCGGGGCTGTGGCGGACGAGGTGAGCTGGGAACTTCGGAGGTAACGCCCAGCCCCAGTGCAGCGTGCCCCTCCCCCCCACAGCTAGCGCTGGGCCAGGCCTACCTGGCAGGGCACCAACGTGGAGGGACCACCCCGCTTCCCTCAGTCTCCCCTGGGAGCAGAGGGGGCAGGCAGAGAATCACCGTGAAAGGACTTCACCCGGACACTTGCAGACCCCAAGGGCGGAGGAGGGGCTAAGGGAGATGCACCCCAAATCTGAGTCCTGCCTGAGGGCGACCTTGTGCACTGGGGGCCACTGGGGGTCACTGAGGGCCAGCTCTGGAAGGCACAGTGGGTGGGCAGTCCCTAGTGTCCCTGACCTCAACGGGCCGGCAGCCTGCCTTGGGGCCACCCTCTCGCATCAGGAGGAATGCCAATGTTTTTGGGGGGCTCTGGGGCTAACATCGGTAGACCCCTGGTCTGATTGATAATGAGCCTACAAGGCCACGCCCAGAGGGTCCGCAGCGCTTGGTCCTCCTCTGCTATGCTCGGCCCCGGGCTCCAGGGGCCATTATCTGCCAACAGGGAAAGGGCCCGCAGACATGTGTGTCCTGCGAGAGGCGCTGCCTCGCTCATCCCTGTCCCCCTGAGCTTGCTCGCCTTCCTCTGTGTAAAGTGGAGTCTGGTGCCACCTCCCCCCCAGGCAAGAGGCAAGATGTGTGGGTGCTACCAGGGTGCAGGGCCAGGCACGGGGAGAGCCGGTCCTCCGCCGCTCTCCCGGCTGCTTGGTCGCTCTCCCCGACGGCCTCGGGTCCCTCTCACCTCCCCTCTTCTGTTCCAAGGTCTCACCGCGCCTGCTCTGACTCGCCAGCACTCTTCCTTCCTGCATTTTTCTCCCCCACACCTCCCACCTTCTAAATGGTTTCACAACGCGGGGTTTGTCCCTGTGGTTCCTGCTGCCTGCCCAAAATGAGGCCTCAGGAAGCAGGGTGTCCCCAGGGAGGGTCTCTTCTCCTCTCCTCCGCCACCACCCCCCTCAGCCTCACAGCCTCCATCCACCTTCCCACCTTCCAGCTTGAGCCCCCATAAGGTGGGGACTCCACTCCCAGTGGCACGGCAACTAAGGGACCAGGGGCTCCTTTCTGACCTGACATAGAGGCATGAAGGGCCCACAGTCCCCATGCCAGGGTCCCGGCGTGCTGGAGTGGGTGTGCACACACAAGCCCCTGAGCGCGCGTGCACGTGTGTGTAGATGCTAAGTGTGGGGCAGCTCAGGTCTGCGGAAGCCCTGGTGTGGATTTGGCAATCGCTTCATGGAAGGGCACCACCTGCCCTTACGTGGCTCGAGTTCAAGGGGAGAGGGGCAGGGTGGGGGCTCTCTGGCTCGGCCAGGACTTGGTACTGACACCCCTGGCTCTCCCAGCCCTCTCCCAGTGTCCCAGGGGCCAACATCACATCCTTCCCGCTGTTCCCAGTGAGGGGCGCTTCCTAGCAGTCTCCAGTTTGTCAGAGTTAAATATTCGAGAAGGCAAAGGGAATCTATTCTGGGAACGTGGGCAAACAGAGATGAAGAGAGGAGGCTCCCGCTGTGCAGCCCCCTTCAAGAAACACAAACCTGCCTTCATTTATTTTTAGAGAGAGGGGAAGGGAGGGAAAGAAACATCAATGTGCCAGAGATACATCAATTAGTTCTCACACACTCCCAACAAGGGACCTGGCCCGCAACCCAGGCATGTGCCCTGATCGGAAATCGCACCCACAACCTTTCCGTTTTCAGGCCAGTGCTCAGTCCACTGAGCCACACCAGCCAGGGCCAAAATCTGTTTCCCTACGTGTGCACTGGAGAATTTAAAGGCACGACACAAGGCTGGAATGAAAGACTGACTCCCAACTGAAAAGAAGTCTCCCCCCACCCCCCTCCCTAGGGACGGCAGGGAAATGCCTGTACTTAACTCAGAGACTCTGTATTGTTTGAGGGTGTTTTCAGGAGAATGTGTTTAGGTATTACTCACAGAATTACGTATAAATCTAATTTTTAGCTAAGTAGAGAGTGCGTTGTGGGTCTCGGAGCACTTTCACGCCCAGATCTGGGGGGCTGGGCCTCTCTGCCCTGAGGGACTGCCCCGGCATAACACCATGCTTGTCCAACAGGCCCTGACTTTCCTCACTTCCCCCACCCTGTCCCGGAGGCATGAAGGGCACAGGCCACGCTTCACAGTTGGCTGAACACAGACCCCGTCCAGGCCCCTCACATGTGCTGGGTCATCCCTTCGCCCCTCACAGCACCTGAGAAAACAGACCTTTCATAGTGCTAGTGGTCAGAGCCACCGGGAGGGTGTTTTGGGGGGAATTTGGGGACAAGGATCAAGGGACACTCCCTTCTCTCTGACAGACCCCAAATTAATCATCCTTTAAAAAAAAAGTCAGCAGTGAATGAAAACTTGAGAAAATTAAGAGATTCAATCAGAAGATTTTACAGCAACAAAGTCCCTTGTTTTCTACACAGGAATACATTGAGGTGATGATAAATTGAGGCCAATTTATTTAAAGTAAAAACTATTGAGCCCAATTTATTTAAAGTAAAAACTATTGAGCCCTGGCTGGTGTGGCTCAGTGGACTGAGCACCCGCCTGCGAACCAAAGGGTCACCGGTTCGATTCCCAGTCAGGGCACATGCCTGGGTTGCGGGCCAGGGCCCCAGTTTGAGCGCACGAGAGGCAACCAATTGATGTATCTCTGGCACGTCAATGTTTCTCTCCCTCTCTTCCTTCCTTCCTTCCTTTCCCTCTCTCTAAAAATAAATAAATAAATAATTTTTAAAAAGAATAAAGTAAAAACTGTTGAAAGAACAAGGAAAATGTGTGAAAAGCACATTGATTTCAGAATAACTCTCCTCTCTTGGTCACATGTCATAATCAAAAAGTGATGTGGAACACTTGAATGAAGAAATTTATAAACTTAATTGCTATGAAAAAAGACAACACATGGGGAGTATCCTAACATGAGTCTGATGGTGAAATTTCTCCTTTTAACTGCTACGCCGTCCAAGCAGAGCTCTGAGGCTCCCCACCCCGCACCACCCCCCCACTGCCGCCTTCCCCATTTAGGAGGCTCAAGTAAAAAGGTTTGTTCGGGGTCAGCCCCTGCACACCCCACCGGCGCGGATCACAAGGGCCTTTCGCTGTTGCCGGCTTTGTCCTCAGCACCTGCCCTGGGCAGGCAAAAGGAGGCACCCGGTGGACATTTGTGTCCAGTGAGGACCGCTGCTTCTCCCTCAGGGCTGCCTGTGCCCGCGGGCAGGGGTGCCCATCTACACCCCCTGCTCTGGCTTGGGGCCCTGAAGGCCGCCTCCTCTGCTCTCTGCCTGAGGAGCAGAGGTGACTCATATGAATGACGCCAGGCCTGGCCCACCCTCTCCCAGGATGGGGGTCCCTCTCCTGGGTTCCCGCAGGCCTCCGCCAGCTCTGCCCGAATGAATGCCTGGCACAAGGTTTGAGTTTGGTCTGCCATCCTGAGGGTGACAGGTAATAACACCAGTGGGGGCGCGGGTGAGGATGGGGACCCAGGCTTCTCCCCTCACCCCTACCCCTCTGCCCACAGGAGGGCCTTCCCGGCTCCGGGCCCCTCCACCCCTTCATTACACACCCACACCCACACCCACCACCCACTTCTCCTTTGCAGCTGCCCCACCGCCTACACCTTCCTGCCTCGGAGTTGCTGGCCCGTGGGCAGGGGCTGGGGAGGCGCCGGGCCGGGGCCTCTCACGGCTGGCCGACCTGGGGTTCTGCAGGAGTCCTCGGGGGCCCCCCGCGAAACAGACACCCGGGGCCGGCGCTGCTCCCCTTACTCCACAGCATCACTCGTTTCTCCTGAACAGCAGCCCCGGACCACCGTGCCGGCCCCGCTCGCTGGTCCGGCCTCCACCTCCATGGCAGCCCGAGACACGGTCCCTCCTAAAGGAGCACAGCTCAGAGGCCCTGCTCCTCCGCTGGGATGCCTCCTGGGGCTCCTCGCTGCCCTGCCTGGGGTGCCTGTGACTGGAGGCCGGGCCCGGTCGCCTGCAGCCTCAGGCTCCTTCCCTCCGGCCCCCTCCTCAGCGTCCCCTGAGGCAGGGACCCGGCCTGTCCCCAGAGAAAGCGTCCCCGTTCCCCCTGCCATGTCTTTGCCCTTACTGGTCCCTCTGCCTGGAAGGTTCCCCTGCTCCTCACATCTGTTAAAGAGCCACTCCCGTCCCCAAGCTCCCTCCCTGTGCCCTGGACAGTTGCTTCTTCCTCGGTGCCCCCAGCGCCGGAGTGCTCCGGGGGCTGGTACGGGCCAGCGGGGAGGCACTAGGCCCGAGCTCCCGGGCTCCCGGGCTGAGGGTCTCTGCCAGCCCCGGCCCCCAGGGAGGGCAAGGCTGAGGGAGCTGCTGTGTGTGTCTGCGACTCAGTCTGAGAGACACGGGCGAGAGACATGCGGGGAAACCCAAACACCAGGGAGACAAGACCAACAGGAGCAGCCTCAGTGAGACCTGGAGGGAGCACAGTCCTGGAAAAAGGGGCGTGGGGGGGCCGGCTACCAGGTCTCCGTCTGCCTGTCCATCTGCGGACCTGGGTCTCCCTTCCGCCTGGGGCTGCCTGCCGCTACCGCTCCGTGCCCTCCCCTCCGGCCAGAGGTTCCTCGCTAACCTCCAGGTCGGCGACTTGCCCCGCTCAAAGCCCTGCGCAGCGCCCAGTGCCCTCGGCCGGAGTCCGAGCTCCTTAAACCCTCTCCGTCAAGGCTCCCGAGCGGCCCGCCCGCCTTCGCGGTGGTAGTTAGGCCTTGGGGCCTTGGCTCACGCCGGGCGGCTCCTCTGTCGAGCTTCCCTAGCTAGACCCCCCTCGGCCCGGCCGCCGCCGCCTCAGCTCCGCCAAGCTTTCCTGCGCGCTCCGCGGCGAGGGCCGGCCTCGGCTGCCCCGTCGCCACCGGCAGTGCGGCGGCGGTGTGGAAGTCCCTCAGGACACAGCCCAAGCGGGCCCTCAGGATGCGTGTGACGGAACCGACTCCGCCGGGGAAGGGCAGGAGGGCTCCCCAGAGGAGGGGGGCTCCCCAGGTGCGGGGGATGCTCGGTGGCCTAGGGAGCAGCACATAGGAGGCCCCCCCAGAGGTCCGTGCCCAGTCCCAGCAGCGGGCTGGCGGTGAAGGCTGAGCGGCTGACTGGGGGAAGCCCAGGTAGGGGGAGAAGGCCTGGGGTGCGGGGCCCTGGGGGCCCGGCTGAGAGCGGTCCCACCCCAGCAGGCAGGGGGCGGGGCGGGGCGGGGCGGGGCTCGGCGGCCCCTCCCAGGTTCTTCTCGCCGGCGGCTCAGTCCCCGCGGGGAGCGCTGCGCGGCGGCGGCGGCATGCGGCAGGCGACGAGGAGCCCGAGGGTCAAGGGCGGGCCGGACCCCACGAAGTGCGTCTCACCTCAGTGCTTCGACTTGCTGGTCCGCAAATGCGTGGGCTGCTGGCACTTCCGGACGGCGGAGCCGAGACCGGGTAAGAGCCGACGCCCTCCGACTGCCCGCTCGCCTGGCGGCCTCGTGGGAAGGGGAGGGTGCCGCCGCCACGGGCCAGCCCCGGCCGGAGCCGAGGCCCAGCACCGCCCCTCGGCCCCTGGACGGCGGTGGGGGGGGCGAGGGGTGATGGGGGTCGTGGGCCGGGGCCCGGGTGGGGAGCAGCCATCCGCACGTGGCCCTCACCGTCCCTCTCCTCCCCTCTCCATGACCCCACCCTCTCCACGCCCCTCCCTCCCCTCCCTGGTCCAGCCTCGCCTTCCTCCAACCCTTTCCTCTTCCCTGGCCTTTCCTCCCCTCCCCGTGTCCCCTGCTCTCCCTCCCCTTCCCCTCCTCCTGCAGTCGAGGCGAGCAGCCTGACGCCCAGGACCCCGGTGCAGCCGCAGGAGTCGTTGGGCACAGGGATCGCCGCCCAGGCCGAGCCGGCGCTGCCGCTGCCCGCGCTGCTCCTCGGCGCCCCCGCGCTGCTGGGTCTGGTGCTGGCCGTGGCCCTGGTCCTAGTGGCCCTGGTGACCTGGAGGCGGCAGCGGCCGCGCGGGCCCGCTTCCCCGGAAGCCCCGGACGGAGAGCAGGACAGTGAGTACCCCGTCGGAGAGAGTCCCACCATGCGGGCTGGGAGCAGGGCAAAGGCGGGGCAGGGCTCTTTGAGGCTTGCAGAAAAGGGGGGAAGAGCTGCCCTGAGGGTCTCGGGCTGAGACCCCTGTTCAAATGAGGGACACAGCTGTGGCGTCCCAGACTTAGGTGAGGAAGAGACACAGGCTGGGGAGCGCAGGGAGAGAGGGGTCTGCCCTGTCCCCTTGGGGACGGCCACACCGGCTGCCACATTTCCTCTCTCCTCTGTCAGCACCCCCTTTTTGCTGCCCTCTGAGCACTTCCTGTCCTGAGGGCTGATCATGTGTCCTCCCTGCCCTCTCTGCAGTGGGGCTTCATCCACTCATCTCTCAGTGGGAGGACTGTTCTGCCAGGGAGGCTTCCAGAACAGGGATGGAGGAGGCTAGGACCCAATTCTGACCCTGTATTTCCCCCACCAGAGCCCCTGGAAAATGTCCTCGTCCTCTCTTCTGGATGCCCTAATGCCACGGCTCCCGTCTGGCCTCCACCCAGGGAAAATTCAGCCACCGCCCCCTCTGCCCACAGTGTCCCTGTGCCAGCTACGGAGCTGGGCTCCACTGAACTGGTGACTACCAAGACAGCTGGCCCGGAGCAACAGTAGCCGAGGAAGGGGCGGGAGATGGCCCTTGCGCTTCCTGGGGGCCATCAGCCAGGGGACTGCAGGTTGAATTTAGCTCCTCATCCCAGCACCCATCTGCTGCTTTTCTGGAAACCAGGCTGCTCCCCCACTAACCCTGCAGGGACACAGACAGGCGCCGCGGACCACAGATTCAGCTGTCATGGGTTGCCTGGCGTGTCAGTGTTTGGCTTAAAACTATACCGCGGTCGGAAGCCCTCAAAAGTTGCGACTGAGCTCCCGCGCTTTGAAGCAGTTGGGCCTGCTGAGCAGGACGTTTTTCTTTTCGAGGGGGAAGGCACCGGTACACCGGAGTGAATCTAGGAAAAGGATCAAGTGGGACGAGGCAGGATTTGTAGCTGGCTGTTGTATTTACTACCTGCTTTCAGGGCCATCCTGCTTTCAAACCAACGCGCATGGCTGCCACGCTGCCCAGAAACCACCTGATGGGCTTACTTGGGGACATAAGACAAGATGATACTAAGAAATAGCCTGGATTGTGCTGATTCTTGGGTATCTGTGCCCTGGTGGAGACCCTGAGCTTGGCCCAGTCTGCCAGGACCTATGATGCCGTTTTCCCTCCAGGGGCAACTTCGAGCCCAAGGCTCACCCTTGAGAGGAAGTGCATAATACCCTCTGGGGCGGGGCTGCAAGCTCAGGCTGAAGGCGCACTGACAGGCGTCTCCTGTCTCCCTCCAGACCACCTGGGGTCCCAGCTGCCTCCAAAGCTCATTCAGCTGTGCACAGGGAAGGGTCCAGGACCTGCAGGAGGCTTCTTCATAGGCTTATGACCTTGAACCACCTGAACCCAATGTCCCTCGAGCTCCCTTCTCTCTCTGTGGCCTGCCCTCTTCAAGCACTGGGCCCAAGTGCTGGGGTCACTTGGTCATTCTGCGCCAGCCCCTGCGGTCACCACCATCCCTATGGAACTGCTCCTCTGACCGCGGCACCACTTGCTCCGGCTTGGGGCTGAGGCCGGCTCTCGCAGCTCTGGACCACGCTGCACACTTGGTCGGCCTCTCCTGCCAGCCCTCCTTCACAGGGCTAGACCTTACCAGCACCCCTCCCTGGATAGTGTCCTTGGAACTTCTTACAGCTCAGCGTCCCTGGAAGGGTCATGGGACTGGGAGTCAGAAGATGGGTTCTGGGTGCCATTTAGTCCCACGGTGGGACCTTGGCTACATTCTGTTCCATGCACCGATGCTTTCGACTCACCTCTCCCTGCTTTGACCTCTGAGTTGCCTGGCAAATACACGCACTTCCCGCCTAAAAGACAGTCAGCAGATGGCAGCCTCCCAGGACCTAGACCCTCACCTCTTCATCTTTTCCTGGTCATTCCCGCCCTGAACCCATCTCAGATGCCCCTCCCTCCAGGAAGCCAGGTGGCTGGGGTGGTCAGGAGGTAGGAGGGTGTGGGGCAGTCGGAGCTCCCGCCCGCAGCATCATCGCCCCCCCCCCCCACCTTTTCCTCCGGAGCCCCGGCTGGGGGCGGACCCTGGAGGTGAAACAAGTGGATGAAACTCCTCTGGGGCCCAGACTTGCGAATGTCTGGCACAGCTGTGTCCCAGCTGATGAGCCCTGCCTGGAGGGCAGCTTCCTCTCCAGTCTCAGTTTCCTTTTCTGAAAAATGGGGGCTGGATGCAAAGTTCTCTTTGGTCGGTGACCCTCAGAGGAGAAGGACTGGAAGGAACCTTGGAGAATCCTCATGCGCTGCCCCCCCATTTTACAGATGAGGAATCTGAGGCCCAGGGGAAGGTTTAGGATCATTGTCATCTGGCAAATAGCAGAAGGGGAGTCCATTAGTGAAGAACCAGGAGGAGAGGTCAGGGGACAGGTGGGCAAGAGGAGAGTCAGTCTCACCTAGCCCCTGAAAGGGACCCTGCCTCCCAGGGGCCTCCAGGCTCTGGCCCTCTGTGGCAGTCGCATTATTTTCTAAGGAGCTTTCTCATATCACTTCATTTGCTCTTTAAAATAGCACCTGAAAGCGAGGTGGCGGGAGGGGGGTTTGGGGGGGGGTGTGTGTTTGCTTTAAACAAATGTTTTTTATTTTAAAAATCAAGGCATGCATTTTGTTGACAGTTTGGAAACTCTGAGACAGCAACCCAGGCTAGATTCTACAGAGACATGGCCCAAAATCCAGCAACCGCCGGCCCAAGTGTCACCATTCTATACACAGGAGCTCATGCCTTGACCGCCACCTTTGGTGTTTCCGCTTGTCTGTAAGCTCTTTATAAGCAAGGTGGACGCCTTACAACGTTGAAAAAGCTTGCCACTGGGGCATGGGATTCTTTTCCATTTTTATTGCAGTCCCTCCTTATCCATAGTTTCACTTTTTGGCTACTCAAGGTCAACCACGGTCTGAAAATATAACATAGGAAGACTCCAGAAAAAAACAACCTGTAAGTTTTAAATTGCGCGCTGTCCTGAGCAGCGTGATGAACTCTCGCGCTGCCCTGCTCTGGCCTGTCTGGCACGTGAACCCTCCCTTTGGCCAGCGTCTCCCCACGGCAGCCACTCCCTGCCCCTTAGTCACTTAGCCGTCTCCGTTATCAGATACAATGCTGGGATTCAGGTCACCCTTATTTTATTTAATAATGGCCCCAAAGCACCAGGGTCGTGATGCTGCCGGTTCAGATATGCCCAACAGAAGCTGTAAAGTGCTTCCTTTAAGTGGAAAGGTAAAAGTTAATGAGGACAGAAAAGAAATTGTATGCTGAAGCCACTAGGATCTACAGTAAAAACAAACCTTCTATCCATGAAATGAGGGAGGAAAAAGAAATTTGTGCTTAGTTTTGTTGTTAGTGCGCGATAGGTGCTTAGTTAGAATGAAAAAAGAAGTGCACTTGTGAGCAAAAGACATGAATAGAGTCCTGGCCGGCATGGCTCAGTTGGCTGAGCATCGTCCCCCAAATTGAAAGGTTGCAAGTTTGATCCCTGGTCGGGGCACATGCCTGGGTTGCAGATCCTTAGTCCGGACGCATGTGAGAGGTAACCAGCCACTGTTTCTCTCCATATTAATGTTTCTCTCACTTTTTCCCTCCTTTCTTCTTTTTCTAAAAATAAAATCTTTAAAAAAGAAAAAAAGGGACATCAACAAAAAACATGTTCTGACCCATGGCAACGTGTGATACTGGAAAACTTTGAGCCCATTACAGAGACTGAAAAGAGTGGCCAAATTCATGTAACTTTTATTACAGTATATTGTTCTATTTTATTATTAATTATTGGTAATCTCTTACTGTGCCTAGTTTATAAATTAAACATCATAGGTATGTCTGTATGGGAAAAAACAGCATATATAGGGTTCAGTACTATCACTGGCTGCAGGCTTGCCCTGAGGGTCTTGGACCACTGTCCTCTCCCCACGAAGGGGAACTACTGTGTATTGTAAGGGAGGCAGGAGCACTTTCTTGTCCGTAAATCTTTGCCTGAGCCTCTGTTTCCCAGGAGAGTTGTTGCTACCAAAGGCTTTGACCTTTTTAAAGGCCTCTGTTAGTTGAATTGCTTTTCTGCCAATTGACCAGTTCATGCCCCTGGACAGGAATCATATGGCCCATCTTGCTGATAGGAAAAGAGAGGCCCAGAGAAGTGAGGGATCTGGCGGAGATGGGCTAGACCCAGACCCCAGCCCCTGCCCCACGCAGAAGGTCATCGGCTCAGGTGCCCTCCTTGAGAGACCTACGCCAGGGATTGACTCCAGGTTCTACTCCTTGTTTTCATCACTACTCAGATTTCTCTCCCCAGCTGGTCTCTTTTTTGCACTAAGAGGGATCCAAGATAGACTCTCCAAGAACTGCTCCTAGGGGTGGGGACAGCGGGAAGCAGCCCCCTCCCCTTAGCCCGTGGGTCTGGCCTGAAGGAGGGTCGGGGAGGGGCTGGCTGAAGTCTCGGTTCCTCCTGGGGCTTCCTGCAGGCACCTTTCACTTCCTGCCCTGCAGCCCAGTGCTCAGGGTGGGGGTGGGGGGCCCAGCTGGGGAGGCCAGGAAGGAGGGACCTGACCCCTCACCTCCCTGTCTCAGCAAGGATGGCCCTACACAGCCCTTACCTTTAGAAGCTGGTGGCATCACTCAGGGCCTGCCTTCCTATCTTCCAAATGGAGCCTAGGGCCACCCAGCTGCTGGAAATTAAAGAGGTCATATGGCAAGTAGGGTCCCCACCTAGGAATGCCTCCACCTCCTTCCTTTCCTGGGACACAGACACTTGCTGGCCAGTCCCCAACCTTCAGCCATTCCCCCGGTAGCTGGTTTCCCAGAGCTGGTCTGAGGCTCGGGCTCCCTAGTTGCCACCCGTCACTCCTCCACTTACTGCCCACGGATCACACCGGATCCCGGACACGCGTGCTCGTGCCAAGGCCACTCCGGGTGGTGCTGGGGGGTCAGCCTCGGGCCCTGCCATTGGCTCATAGTCTGGTGGGAGAGATAGAGCAGGACACAATGACAGGACAGGGTGATCCCTTCCAGGGCCAGGGAATGTCCCAAGCAGGGTGGGGTGATAGTGCAGCGCCCAGGGAGTGCTTTGAAGAATAGGTGTGTACTGAATCGTAAGGCAGTTTTCCTGCTGGAGTGGAGCAGAGATAGCATTCCTGCCCCAGGGGACTAGGTGTGGAGGGAGCGGGCAGGAGGGTCTAGCTGCAGGGGCGAGGGCAGAGACTGGAGAGTTGGCAGCAGGACCTGAGACCTGAGTGCCAGGACAGAGCCTTCGCCCTGCCGTGCCTGCTTCCAGCACACAGCAACCCTCGGGGAACCCGGGTGCTTCTCCAGCCCCACTATTTGGTGTCTCACCCTTTCCTGTCCCCTCTGAGAGGCCACCAGACCCCTCCGGCATTCCTCCGGGCCGAATGAGCTCCCATTTACTCTGTTGTGTTGGATCAGGCCAAATTCTTCCTCACTTACAGATGAAAACTGACCTCTTTCCAACCTGTGCCCCTCCCCCGCTGCCTGGTCCCGACCTCGGGCCGGGGAGGAGCAATGCAACTGCCCAAGGTC